TTTAAAAAATTTAAAAAATATAAATCGAAATCTTTTATATTTTTGAATTTTTTAAATTTTTCGGAGCCTCCGAAAATTTAAAAAATTTTAAAAATTTAAATCGCAATCTTTTATATTTTTTATTTTTTTTAAATTTTTCAAGGCTCCGAAAAATTTAAAAATTTAAATCGCACTCTTTTATATTTATTTTTTAAATATACTTTATTTTTGATATAGTATATAATTATTAATATATATATATAACTATGTTAGCTTAAATTATCTCAAGGCAGACTGCGCGGCACATAGGGTATATTCTTCCCTCTTACGGGGGGGGGGGGGGGGCCCCGTGTTTATTATTAGGGGGACGGGATTACAAATGAGCCATTGTCAAGAAACACCAGTGACCAAAAACAGGTGGGGTTCACAGAATGAGCCCCTTGACCTCTTTCAAAAGTGTGGTCTAGCAAGTTACCCCAAGCCCGTCCCATATCACGCCATATCAGCACTATTTGGACGGCAAGCATCGGCACATGATGGTGTCTCACATCCAAAACTGGACATCTGTGCGGACACGCGGCAATAGGACCATATTCCAGTATCTCCAAAGCAGCGCCGGCTTCGCATGACAGGTTCAGAGAGCGTGCTGTAGGTCACCAAGTCCTACACAGCTAGGCCAGCCCATCTCACCGAGAGAGCTAACTAAGCCGGTGGCCTTGGCATGCTGGTGTTCACGTGTTCATACACGCACACACTCTGCTGGCCAGAAATTGTATAAGCAAGTTTTAGGGCCATGTGAGGCGCAAAGAGGGCTAGATTCAAGACATGCAGCATAAGCGACTGTCAAAGTGCTCCAGAACGCACGAATCTGTTGCTTTGCTGGGCTTTGCGTCTAATGATTGTTCCCTAAGGCCAGGGTTGGAGCACTCCGCTGCTGGCGCTACCAGCCATCAAGCCGAATCAAGCCTCCTGTCCTCACGCACTGCAGTCCAATTCAAATGAGGCTGCTCATCGCACTGCGACCTGGAGCTGGTGGATGATCAATGTGGCCACAACGGGCAGCCTGTGACCTCCAACAAAACTGAGGTCCTTGGGCTGTGCCTTCCATACAATTCTCATCAATTCTTGGTAGTTTTGCTGCATCTTCCTGTTTCCTGACCTTCCTCCAATTTTGATGGTCTAGAGTCCAAACTGTCTGTCTGATGTTGTGATCAAGTTGACTCGGCTCACCTCTGACCATTGCAAAGGCCCGAAGCAAGCAGGGCGGCAACAGCTAACCTCCATACTCCAAGTAAACCAGCTCACAGCAATTGCAACTTGTGTTTCACATTCACTGACCCCTGATAATCTCTCTCCCTCATCTCCCACTGCATGGTGGTCACACAGTGGCCAATTTGTGAGTTGCGGCCCCTTTTGTGCTGTTGCCAATTCCTACTTCTAGCCTTGGTTGACGCTTGTAGCTACATCCTTGCGAGCTACGATAAGCAACTGCTCTCAGCCAGCTGAGCCCAGAAATTCATCTGATCCCAGCAGGTGATGCTTTCATGACATCTCATCAGCTGGCTTCTTTGCAGCGTCAAAAGTTATTTGGATGAACAATAGGACAAGGGCAAATCTCATTTGCCGGGAACGATTAGATATATTCCAAGTTTTGGTAGTGGAGCCTCATGTGCGGTTCAAACTTCCAATCAAAACACGAGACAACGGAAGTAACATATGTGGGTAGGCATACGTGAAGGTATCTTTAGGTTGCTCCGTGTCACGTTTTTTCTGTGAGTCTCCTTGTAAAAATATACACGGCTCTGCCATCTCCAATGAACCTGTGTCTGAAGAGGAGAGTCTCTGGCCAATCTCAACTCTAAGACTCTAAGACTAAGACAGCCACACATCCTTGAAACGACTTTGGACCACATGACCAACGTACTTGAAGGAACTACAGTATTAGACGTTCATTATTTTTGTTTGGCCTTTGACACTTTCGTGTCTTTACTCTTGGCCACAGTATGCCACAGTACTTCAGTACTGCTCAACTACTCACTATCCTTCAGGATGACGTCGATGTACCGAGAGTTGCCTCCAATCACACCTGGGCTGAGAAAAGGACATTTCCAAAGCAAGCACCACAAAACGGGGCGAAGCTTCGCATCATCGGAACCGACTCGCATCGGCCGAGAACAGTCCTATGGCTGGAGTCCCTTCCAAGCGTCTCTTGTGCAGTGCTTCGGTGGCTTTCTTGGCGGAGTCCGCCTCTTTGTAGATCACCACCGCCGAGCCTCTGGTGACCCAATGCACGTCTGCGACTTCTCCTGGCCGAGCACAAAACAAGCGGATTCTCCTGCACCGAGCATCCGAGCCATCTCATGCCCTGACATGCCTTGATCCGAATCAACAGGAGTCACTTCACCCACAGTCAACAAGCACCGAGACCCGGCAGTGGCCTCATGTGCCCTCCGACAACCCTGCACGACGAGTCCTGCAGTGGACATGTGTCCCATGAGCTGTTCATCTGTGGTGCCGAAGTCAAAGCCCCGCACGAAAACACGCCCAGAACCTCACGCCCCGCACGAAGATTTGCAGAAGCAGAGGCGAAGATGTTGCAAATCGACGGAGTTATTTGACAGAGTCAATAGAGTCAATAGAAACAGCGATAGATAACAGCTCTTTGTGGCTGCATTTGTTGTACCTTCCGTCTCGATCATCATGCGGAGGACTAGTAGTGACTATAACAATTCCTTCCGCCTAGATAAGCACGGAAATCCGACTAGAACCTGGTTTGAGTGGGTCTGTTCATTGGAATCCTCCACTCATGGCCCCATGACCTCTGAAAACATCTCTTGAAAGCGATGCGAAGAATCAGCCGACCAAGGGCTGCGCCTGGAGGATCCTCACTCCTTCTGCTCTTTCCCTTGCCTTTGCCTTTGCCCCATAAGCGGGCCAGATTGGCGAACCAGTACTTAGCTCAGCGTCATCATCGTCAAGATTGTCGCCATGCCCACCAACAATCAAAGCAATTTGAATGGAAAAGTGTCCCAATGCATGCCACAATGGGAAGCTCAGAAGTAAGCATAGCCAGGGCCAGGCCAGGGCCAACTAAACTTCATATCTACAAGCACATGCCAAAAATGCAGGATGAACAACCACAAATGCTTGATGTTGGCATTGAAGTCCTTTTTTGCCAAGACACCATCGGTGGGGGCATTCCCTAAGCACCAGCAAATGTCATATCAAAGCAGCTAACTAATTGATGCTCTAGTGACTAGTGGTTGCGTTCTCACACATTGATGGTCGTACATACCGTCTTGCAGTGCAACAAAGGGCCGCACCCTCATCCTTCTCATATCAAAGAAGCCATTGCCATCCTCTTTGACCATGACATCCTCACAGGCAGCAATCTTCACTGCCACAGTGGTCAAACCAGGCTGAGTCGCACCTAGTTGCCAGTGCTGGCCAAGATCAACAGAAAATGGAGACGTCAAGAAGCAAATAGAGATCAAGGGAACATATGGGTTGGGCTTTCAGCTTGATAATCTGGTGGGCTTTCAGCGCCAGGAATCTCCTGCAGCGAAAAAAATTGGCCTTGCCAAGGATCGATGAATCTGGTGTTGCCTTGGATGGTAGTCTTGTTCAAGGAGCTAATGGCTTGCGCAGCTTGTTCCGGTGAGCTGTAAGTCACAATGGCAGAACCCTTGCTGCACCATTGGACCTTCTCCTTGGCTTTTAAACAGCTTGAGCATTCAAGAACATAGAGCTTGTGATACAAAGAGAAGTGACCTTACGAACGCCCCAGACTCAAACAGTCGATAAACTTAGAAACATGCTCTTTGGTGGCTACTGCTAGGGACGTGATGACAGCCGGTGAAGGCTGTGCAAGAGCACTGTGCCACCAAAGGGAACCCTGCCAACAAAAAAGTGGTTGTAAAGGAAAATGCAAATCATGGCTCCAACAAAAAGTCCAGAAACAGCGGAAATGGTGTTGCTAAGATCTCATTTTTTGACCATGTTTTGCCACGGCTCGATCTGCCCAGCCTGAGAGCAATGCGCCTCCAACCTTTGCCCAATTCGCGTCATGGTGATCCACTGGGAAGGGAAGGGCAACCGTACAAACTGAGTTCAACCAGATTCGACCCAGCCAAACGGAGGTTCCTCTCTCTCACCCGTTGTTCTTTTCTCTCCTTCTCTCTCTCTCGCGCGCGCGAGCCAACAGCCTGTTGCAAAGCGGCCGGGCAACTTGTGGATTCGGCGTGTATATATATATATATATATAAATGCTACTCCCCCCCCCTAAACCTATGTTTCTGAGTGCTGGTGTACAGTTGGTAAGCATATTTGTGCATTTAACTATGTACTACAAAAATGTCCAAATCCATAAGGTTATGTGTTTACTAAACAGTTCTTGGACGGAGTAATTTATTTTGTATATTCAACTCTACTCTACTTTGTATATTCAAATTCACATTTGAGTCTATTTCAATTATTTGTAAATCATATTTTGATTCAAATGTCTATCACTATAGGTTCTAATTTACTTGGGGTTCAATGCAAGCCTAATTTTAATTTGATTTCAAGCTAACTCTAGCTTCATTGCTATACAAGTCAGATTCAATTCTAATAGTGTATTCTTTTTCAATTTAGTTTTAATTTGAATGAAATTCTCATTTACTTCTAGAGAAGTGGTGTTACTTTGAACATGAGAGATTTTATGAAGTTTTTCCAATATAGAAGAATGTGCTTTCTTAAATGAATTAAATTCACCACCCACTCTCTAGAATGACACCAAAACTGAATTAGAAGTCCATGTGCATTGAACTAGAATCAATATAGGATGAATTTGACATATAGGAACCAAACCTAATTTGCAATGACAATAGTGTAAAATTGGATGTGTAAAACAATTGAATCTGAACCGTATAACGGCATTAAGATTAGAAACTAACTACTAGTAAATTGGAAGAGTCAAAGTTCAATTGAAACCAAAATAGAATGAAATAGAACTAAATTACAAGTAGACTGGCATTAAATAAGAGTTGAAAGAAAAACATTGAATAATAATCCATTACTTAAATTGAAATTGACTTCGAACTAAGGTAAAATTGAATTAGAGTTGTTTTACCTAGAGCTTGGTTAGTAGAACGGTATTGACTTAGAACGAAATTGGAATCTAAGTTCAATTAGAATTGAACTAGATCTAATTTGCAACCTCAATTTGAGTTCAAGTACATAAAGTTCAAGTAGGATCATTTTCTATTTAAATTAGAAGCACGTTGCAGATTCAAATTTAGATTCAAGATTGAATTCCATTAGATCTAAAATAGCCAAACATAATTGGAATAAAATAGAAAGGAGTAAATTAGAATAAAAACTGAATTCGAATTTGTCTATACAATGAAGTTAAGCTAAATAGACTTAAATGACTTAAATTAGAATTTAATTAGGCTCAACTTAGGCTTAAAGTAGAACTATGTTACATACTCAAATTAGAATCCGTTTAAAGTTCAATTAGACTTCAATTAGACTCAACTTAGAAATTTAAATAGAAATACAAGTGATTTTAAATTGGAATAAGAATTGACTTAGAATTTAGTTAAGTTGTATGTGCACCAAAATTCATAGAAGTAAATTAGAGTTGAATTAGTTGTTAATTAGAATTGAATGAGGAACAAATGTTGGCAATCAGTAATATTCCAGGATCAAAATGTACTTAGTGCAATTTTGTCACTACCAAGATCCAAGATCCAAGATTTGCACAGAAGTCTTGTGGAAAATCTTGGGTTTGGGAACATCCTGCCCAAAACCAAGATCAAATATTTGCACAGAAGTCTTGTGGAAAATCTTGGGTTTGGGAACATCCTTTATCACTGTATCAATCCAAGATTTTAGCCAGGAGTCTTGTGGGAATCTTGGATCTTGGTTTATCCAGGATTTTAGCCAGGAGTCTTGTGGGAATCTTGGATCTTGGATCTTGGTTTATC